CAACGATCCTTAAATACGTAGCGATGAATATCGGTGAGTGTTGGCAACAACCGAGTCAGAGTGGAGTACGTAAGTAAGACGAGAGATCGCGTTTCTCCGTATACGACCATGACACTAAATTATAACCAAGTCGCACAGCGGTTGTCAATCCAAAGTTATACAAGTAAGATCGCCCCCGTATAGGCGACGAAATTAATCATCTTTCTCTTCTTCTTCTTCTTCTTCTGTACTTGAGAAACTGGTCTGCCCAGACCCAATTCGAAACGATCGTTGCAGACGATCGAGCGAAAAGATGATATCGCGGAGGAGGGGGGCACGTTGAAAAAAAAACAGATTGAACAATGGCGAATCGAAAAGTATGGCAGGATTGTTGATTAATCTACTCGTTGAAATATCCGTACGAAGACACAGAGATTTCGATGGAGAATTCGCGAAAGGATAGTCACCCGTGATATCAATGGAAATGTAATTACGAACTTGATATTAATTCTGGCAGGAATTGAATCATGGCCGGGCGCGGGTCGAGCGCGCGACAGCCGATACGAGGCAATGCAATTTCGTCCGCGGCGTAAGACGAAACCACGTGACAAATAGTCGTGAATATCGATAACCGCGTGCAGAGCACGGCGGAGCTGGCCACAGGCACGTACAAACCGAGATCTCTTAGCTCGAGAACTTAGGGGAGATAGGGGTCAATACGCTCGTACGTACACGTACTATAGCATGCGCACCTCGCGTGGATTAATTCAATTAACTTGTGTTAATGTTTGATATTAATAAATTTTTCGACGAGACATCCGTCCGTTGATTCTATGTATATCGCGTGGAATCGCGAGGCCTATCTCGCTTGTGTATAGAATTTGATCGGGATAAACGAGGATCGTACTTATGCGAGAAAATATCTACGAGGATATACAGTACGTGTACATCTTTTTAGCGCTGCAGATGTGGTTACCAGAGTGAGTATTGATGAAACAATAGAAGGTACGTGAACACGGTAGTGAAAGAACGGGCTATATCGCGATCCACATACGGTTGGAATGGTAATGAATGGTAGGTAGGAGTAAATGCGATGAAAAATCAATGGCAATTGTCGCATTAATGTACTATCGCTGTTCGTAGTACAATATAATCGAGGGTGTACTATATATGTGCTAAATTTATCGCTTTATATACGAATAATAAATTTAATCCCTTAGCTTATGTACCTTTTCTAATAAATAATAATTAATCGCGTTATAGCGATTGATCGATATCTCATTGAACGTTATGGTGTCAAAGGAAACGCTCTACGCTTATGAGAAAATCGGATAATACGCGCTGCACCTGCAAAACGGCAACCTTTATTACACCGCTGTCAACGATCATGATTAGTGCTATGAAAATGTTACCGACGGTACCTAGATATAAAATTTTCAATTTTAATCGTTGAAAAGTAATTTTTGTTCACGCTCGAATAAATATCTATAGAAAAAAACTTTTTTTATACTTTTGGATGAAATTTAAAAAAAATAGGCTGTAAAAATTTATTTTACGTTTTATATATACTTTTTACATCCATACTTTTATCAAATAAAAAGAAAAAAAAATTTATTTTATATTCTTAATTTAATATTACATTTTTTTCTATATTTTGTATTTTAGATTAAATTATTAAACATTTCAATTAATTTGTTTTAAAAAATGATTATAAGAAAAAAGTACAATAAATTATAAAAAAATATCAATGTTTTATCTTTTCTTTCACTTTCAAATATATATATCGCATATATACATATATTTTGTCGTAAATATTATAAGAAAGTTTCAAAAAATTTGAAAGATTAAATCGGCACTTACCTTCAGTTACACCATTCTAGCGACGTTTCTATATAATGTATCGATCAACGTCTCGTAGAAAGATGACAGTGGTTGTTCGATCATTGCCAAATCGCGATGTTGACGCTAATCGGCTGAAGAGATACAATTTCAAACAACAACGCATTGTTATCCAACGAAATTGAACGAATGTTTGGCACACATTCGGTAACGGCGAAACGCCGTTGCACCGACGGCGGTTCGCACCTCACAGATACATCGCGACGTCTGACGTTCCCGCGCCCATTGGCGTCGAAGTAGCGTCGTCATAACAACCGCGCATAACAATCTTTGTACACGCGCAATATGTTTCTATTCTGTAAATTATACGCGGCAATATTCGGATTATAGAAAATAATTTTTGCTAAAATATTATCGATAACCGTAGAAAATATGGTGAGTTCATATTTCAATCATTCTATTTATTGCATAAATATAAAAACAATTGTATACTTTAAATTTATATTTATTTATTTATATATATTTATTTTAAACATATATATAATGATTAGAGAAAAAGAAAGTGATAATTAAAATTTTAATATTAATAATATTAATAATATTATAATTTATATCAAGAGTTCAATTATATCAATATCTTTTTAATTATAAATAAATTTATTTTATGGATAATTTTTGTTAATATTTAAATAGTAAATATTCTTGATTTTGCAAAGAAAATGTATACAAATACATCTATTACTATTTGTTTATAAATATATACTTCCAACCATTAATACCTTTTATATAATATCATTATGATAATACATAAAGTAATAATGAGATGACAAAGAAATATAATTGCAAAAATTTAAAAAAAACATTGTTTTATATTTACTTATAAAAGTAAATCTATAAAATTATAATTATTGAATTAAAATCTAGCTTGATTTTGGTATTTCCTATATTATATTATAATTGTTATTATTATAATCATAAAGATTATAATTAAATTAAAATTAAAATTAAAATATTATAATAAAATTAAAATAATATTTTTTTAAAAAGAATTTCAAAGTTAGATTTGAAGATCATATTATATTTTTCTAAAAAATAAGCTTACTTTTACTCATAAAATACATAACGTATCAACGTTAATTATTAAATGAAATATTAAAATGAACTTTGTTCAAAGATATCTTCTTCGACTAATGTCTGTATTGATAAGTTATTTGTAAGAAAGGTCAAATTTTTATTATATTATAATACAATTTTTTATTCTATTTTATATTTTAAATTCTTTAAAAATAAATTTTGTATAATTTTATCAAATGAGACAAAGTACAAATTATCAAAAGATAGAATTTGAAAATTTTTTATAAGACTAATAAATATAACAAACATATAAACACATAGTGCTTATATATATATATATATATAATAAAATAATTTAGATTATATGCATATAAAATATAAATGCATTATGTATGTTATATTTATGTTACTGTAGCTATAAGTTTTTTTATATTATTATATAAGATGAAAATATTTTTTATTAAAATAAATATTATAATTTTTTTATTATTTCTAGATTTTTCATATAAGTTTTGAATAATTTAAGTATTATAATTTTTTAATATACTTTTATTAACAATAATACTACAAAAAATAGAATATGTAATATAAAAATGAAAATAGATGTTTGAATATGTTTCTTAATAAAGAAAAATTATTGAAATTACATGTAAAATAATAAAATATTAACAGCTTGATATAAAGTAGTAACATAGCTTATGAAAAAAATTATTGCTCTGTGAGGTTGTTTTGCAAATATAACATATACTAATGTGTGAAGAATTCTAGCAATTACAAAGGTTCTGATTAAGAGCGAAGCTAACCATATAGAAGGATTTGTAGTTAACCAAATAAATGTAACAATATACCATATAAGAATGTTTTCTAAATCATTTAAATGTGCTCTGCGTACACGTTCAATTTCAGGATCATTGGTAGCAACTTTTGCTCCTTTTAGAGTTACAGCATCCTCAGGATTTAAAAATATCTGTAATATAAAATTTTATATACATTTATATTTATATTTATATTTATATCTATATATAAAATGTAAAAACATTTATTGCAAAACTATTGAAAAAAATAACTATTGAAAAACATACCTTATTTTTAAATCTGTAATATGCAGTTAATGGAACCATTGCAATTAATTTTAAAGCAAGTATAGTACCCCAAAATGCAAAAATTTTGAAAATTTCTGCTTCCATAAAAAACGTATTTGAAGACATTTTGATTTTATTCAATGTAATTTAATTCAATAAATTATTTGAATAATAATAAATATTGTCGTCGCGTTGTGTATTCAAATTGTGTTAAACTTCGCAAAAGCTTTCTGAAATCATAGAATGATACTGCAATTTGCAAGTATTTATATAACTGTGTTTATAAAGTATAAGAGTAGGGATAGATTAAAAAAATTAATTATCATACATTAATCATTTTTATGCGTATACAATATGTGTATGATTATAATGAGAAAAAGAGGGGGCAAGAATATTCTTTATTATATTTATATTTTCAAAAATCTATGTAAATATTTGTGTATTTCTTTATATTTGAATATTTGTTATATTTTTTTATCTTTCAAATCTATTATAACTTTATATTTATTAAATATGTATTAAATTCAAAATATAATTCATATATATATGTGAGTATGTGTATATATAAATAGTATAAATAGTATAAATTCTATAAATTCATTAATTATAAGATCCATATTTTTGTCCAATATTATCCAATGAAAATACGTTAAATACAAGATGCTTTTTACTGATTGGTTATTTCTGTTAGTATTTATGTAAAAATGTACAATCAGAATTCTCTTTAAGAAGAAGAATTTAAGCAACAAGGTTATATATATATATCGTTTCTTTATACGTCACGTGATTGGAGATATACTTTCCAATCAGGAAACAGGAAGTCTAGATATTTATTAAATGAAATATTAAATTGATCTAAGTTTTTAATCGTCAATTGAAATAACATGAAAGAAAAGTTATTGAATCAATTTAAGTATAATAATTAATTCGTTATAGAATTTATTTTCGTTTAATAAGTATCGATGGTATATTAGCAAATAGGGAATATTATAGAGCGCATGCGCGAGAAGCAACGCTGACGCAGAAGGTACGTCAGCTGTTTTGTTAGAGGTGCATGTATCGGGAATAGTATATTGTTGACTGGAGGGGCACTTCGCAGTTTGTTAGTCTGATCATATTTCTTTGTTTATTTGATGTGCAGAATCGTACTATCATCATAGAAAACGTCCTGCCGCGAGTGAAAAATCACGACACGTTGAGAAACGGCTAAGAAAATTATAGTAAAGACCGTAAATTATCTGGAAAACCCGTTGGAAATTGATTCTCACGAGAAGGAGTAGTGTTCGCAAAGGCGTCCGTCCGACTGTAGTGTTCTGTGCTACCACTTCAGGAGGTTTGGGACGTTCCGCTTCCTGGAACAGACTGCAACTCTACTTCCAGAAAAAAAATATGGCACAAACAACGAGTAGCGCTCTGAGGGCACTTGCCCTTGAATATAAAAGTCTTCAAGAGGAACCCGTTGAGGGATTCCGCGTGAAACTCGTTAACGAGGACAACATGTTTGAGTGGGAAGTGGCTATCTTCGGGCCCCCGGATACTCTTTACCAAGGAGGATACTTCAAGGTAATTATTATAATTATTATTAGCTTTTGTTCGTTTAATGCGTAAAGTCGGCCAAGTTAAAAAATTCTTTTATTTTTATCTTTTTTCTATGTAAACATTACAATAGGATACATACTTTTCGTTTTGTTGGTTATGTTTTTGCTTTTACGTTCAAGAGGTTCAATTTTTTTTTTTTTCATCAAAGAAGCTTATTTTATTCCAATTATTAAATACGATTAAAAATTTGCAATTATATATACTTTGTTTTGTTAAATTTATAACTATTTCGTTATTATTATTTCTTTTCTTTTAACGATTTTTGTTTGCTTAAGAATATTATTTTTACCATAACTTCTTTCCCGCCAATCTTAACAATAGCATAAACTTAACCATTCATTAGTAGTATTAAATTTACATGGTAACACGCGAAGCATTACGATTACCTTGACCAAAAAAGCAGCAACGCGGATGATGAGTTCGTCGCGATTAATCCTTTGATTTCTCTAATAACAGGCATTGCAATGGTTATTGCCGTAAATTTGTTCATCTTTCCTAGCTCGTTGCGATGAATGTTTTCACGTATAAGTCAAGCAGCGACTTTCAACCAACATTGAGCAATCTGAAAATTAAAGATTACTCAATGCAGTCGGATCGATTGCGTTCCACGTTGATTTACCCTTCTTATAGAGCTCTTCTTATCGGATTTTTACACGTGTATCCCACAATCGATAATACATCTCGAGACGCAATATCGCAATTATTTTTGTTAAATACAAATATTTTCCAAAATGATTCTCGATATATTATATGCGATACATATAATTTATACAATCGCATGACCATATTTAAAAAAATATAATATATAAGCAATGATATTTAGAGAGTTTCAAATGAAAAAAAATTGTTTGATCTTTTTTAAATTTTTCTAAATAATAGTAGCTACGATATCGTTATATATTTTCATAATCTACTTTTAACAAATAGAAAATGAATTCTGCCGTTACCGTACAGTTATATGGTTTTTTGTACAATCCGTGTCCGCTTTCTAAACCACTCTCTGCTTCGTTATGAATTTACGAACACTTATTCACGTAACGCGTACGTTACCTATCTTCCCACAGCAATATAACTGGTCGCAACGAGCACAACACCGTTATTTGCGAATCGTATCGTTCCGTACACGTGATCAGCATCTACGTGGGTGTCTCGAATCCTGTTCCACGAGATTCTAACTCACGCTTTGTAATCGTAATGCGACTCGATTGTAAACAGTGTCGTCACATATTATTATCATGGTAATACGGTGTTCTTTGTTGCTAGGTGGTTATCGCGATAATGCGACACACATAGTATTGTTAATCGACATTTCTCGCTGTCTACTACAAAAATCTTGCCGATCATTTAAATCGACAATTGTCTTCTGACTCGACATTTTACGATTGCAAGACTGCTTCAACCTCAAACCCAATTTTAAATTTCTTGCAACTCCTCTCAATCAATGAAGTTTAATATTTCATCGTTCGACCAGTTAAATTCTAATCGTAATTACGCACGCTTTCCACATTATCATTATTATTTTCCGAACGAAAATTATAACTTACGGTTTATCACAAACCGTATTTCTTTCTCAGGGGTTTTACGATCGACCCAATGAAGTCGAGGAGTAGCGTGTGTTGCCATGTTACATAAAACGCCATCGAGCATTGTCTCGTGTCTATCTTTGGCCGGCATCCCTCGAATCACCTGAACGACTTTCACCCAGTCCCATTCCGCCTCAGATGAACAGGCCGGATTTTTCTCTCCAGGGAAAAGCGGCGTGTCGCGCAAACAGGTCATCCACGGCGGACGCCGATAAATGGGTCTTCTCGGTATACGTGTATCTGTGCGTTGCCCGTGTCATTTTCTACAATCGAGGATCCCTTCCTTCCTTCTGATTTTGGCCCATTTAATCCTTTCACCTCGCCACGGCGAGAGATGGGCATCGTACGAGCCCGATACTTGACCGTAATGTATATGCCTTCTCTGTGAAACTGTTACTATCCGAATCAATATGCAATTCTCGTTTCACCACCAAACCGTTAAATCTCTCCCATATCTCATGCATATATCCTTTCGCTTAATCTTCTCGAATTATTTTTCAATTTATCCATCGATTAGAACCGCCTTAATATCGCCGTTATTGTTGATCGCGATAAGTTATTATTAATGGAGCATTTTCAAGTGAAAGTATAATCCCGTTGTCTAGGGAGAAAAAGTGAAAGAAAAAAACTGGGCGAAGTCTCGATGACTAATCAACTTGAAGAGTCGAGAATCAACCAAGATAGCGAATGTATAGAGAGTTTATTTCGGGCATCTAAAGATGGAGACAACTATGTTACCTTTATCTATTCGTATGTAAACGGTATGAATAATACAAAATTTCAGGAAATAGGAATGACGAAACGTTTTTCGAAGATTGAAATTTTTAAAATCCGTATTATTCTTATTGTTATCGATGTGACGTGTATTTATATCAAAAGATCACGTATCCATTCGATTTACCGTTCACGCACAACAACACTTGTTGTAAACACTTTTAATTACATATTCGAATTTTCGTTTTGCTTTTTCTTTCATTTGTCAACGAGGTTTACGATCAAACGAGAATTTCGAAATGTTACTTACACCACGTCTCCTGTTACCACGCGTTTCCTCTTCTCGACTTGTGACACGTGCGATACGCGTCGTCCGGTAGTTGCACGATACACGATCGTCAGCTAAAAAGTTATTGCACATTTGGCTCAGTGACAACAACAGTTCGATGGATGGAAAGAATACGGAACTACTACGTGCCAATAACGATCTTCTCAACTCTAGAAAAAAGATTCTCATATAATATAATTGTTATGAGTTTCGGATAACATTAAACGACCTTGTTCGACCAAATATGTTTTGGAAGGAGAAAAGAGATGATACCTGGCTTTCTGATTTAGGTCAGTCCTTGATCCTCCCTGAATCGGCGCGAAGTTTACGTACAACGATGGCCGTGTCTCGCAGTGCCATCTAAGGGGTGACCGTCAAATGCTCATGGTCGAAATAGGTCGAGAAAATTTATAGGTCACGCAGTGCAGTCGAATCGAAGGACGAAAAAAAATCAACGAGCAAACGATCTTTTGAAATAATGATAAAATAGACCGTATTCCCGGATTCTTTGATTTTCTCCTTAATTCTTTCGTTTAAACATTTCCGTTCTCACCATCTCGATTTGAATTGTATCGAATTATAATTTTCGAATATTTAAATCGAACAGTCAAAGTTCAGCTTTTTTTTTCCTTTTCTTCTCTCGAATATTATAATTTTAATATTTTATAACATAATATAATTTTCTGCTATGATATATTTTTATTTTCCTGATCATCAAACGCGTCCATGAATTACTATTACGTGCAATATTTTTTTTTTTTTTCACCTTCCATAATATTATTGCCAAGTATAATATGTTTCTATCACGTGTTAACTGCATTGCATTATTCAAGAATCGAACGCTTATTTGTTCCGTTCGCATAACGTATTTGAGCGAAGTTATATTTTTCCTTAACCGTATAGTCAATTTCTCCATTGTCTCCGATGTAACTATATACAAACGAATGTAAATCTCGATTTTTGCCCTCGGTCGAATATCACACGTGCGTTATTTTTCGTATCGTTTCAGGAAACATAAGGCCGTTGTAATTGCATAAATAATCGATCTCGTCCTCGATTCCGCGAATACCTTTCGCCGATGTCATGCGAGATTACCGACTGATAACCGCGCGATCGATTTTCCCATGTCACGTTTGAAAAGCGCGACGCAATCGTCCGCTCCTTCGAGCAACGAGTCTCTCCCCCCCTCCTCTCCCCGAATGACGATTAATATAATTGTCAAAGGCTTTATCTCCTGTCGCGGCACGTGTCACCAGCATCGATGAAAAGATTTGCGTGTCGATGAAAAAAAGAAGATGGAGACGATGGGAAGGATGCGTTTGCTTGGCTCGATTCGATCGCGAATTTCGATATGGATGATTAATTCGATAAGAATTAAGCATGGAACGGAATACGAGCAGAGGCTGGACGGAAAGTAAGTTAATTCTAGGACGCTCTCTATCCCGGAGGACGAGGTGGATATTTGGGCCATGACCAGGTTGCGATCAATATAGCGTCCCGTCGGCGAAACCATCGACGAAAGTCTGGCAAGCAAAGGACGGCCCTTATGCCTTGTCACCCTGTGCGCGAAACGGATTCGTTTCTGTGCCGATCACAAGCGCGTGAAAGGGAAAGAGGAACGCACCGTCCCTCCTCCCGGACGCGACACAGGGAGGGAGGAGGTGATCGTCAATTTGTCCGAAACCGATACCGTTATTCCGTGTTTCTGTTATTACCTAAACAAAGCTATTCATTGTGTTCCTTTGTGCTGCAAAAAGATTTTTGTGGAAACGATCGGCGTTGAGATTAATTAAATGCGACGCGCAAAAACGGATCGAATTTGGCGAAGGCCTCGGTTCTCGGTTGTTTTTCCGGGCAAATTCATCCCTCGCGTGATCGAGTTTTCCCTCCGGTGTTTGCTTATCGTTCAACTTTTTCTAGACGAGGCGAGCAATTCGTAAATGACTTGTAAATAATTTCCGGAACCAGCCGAACGAGGGCCGCCTTTGATAATTTGCATAAACGATTATCGATTGCCGTTCGAATGCACCACCTTTCTTAACGCGCGCGTCCCGCGCCACTGTTTTCTTTATGTTCCAGGCACACATGAAATTCCCGCCTGATTATCCGTACAGCCCACCCAGCATTCGGTTTATGACGAAAGTTTGGCACCCGAACGTGTACGAGGTGAGTAAATTGAATCGAAGGAATTATGTGTTTCTCTTTTCCTCCTTCTTTGTCCAATTCCTTCGATTTCCTTTTTATCTCTTCGATATTCCTTTCGAAGGATTCAGAATTGTTGAAGAATCAAAGTCGATCTATAAATATCCGCGTTTCGAAGAATATATATATATAGGTAATAATTTTAGACCGAAGGCGAGATTCGTTTCTTTTCATTTATTTATCAATTATATATATCTATCTTTCATTCTCTGGAATCGTTTCGTATCCTAGTTCCGCTTTATATTTGCAATCGTTTCATCGAGTTCGAATCGCATCTCTCGCGAGTTCTTCGTATGACCCTTAAGCGACTAGCAAAGAGTCAACGACCGTCCAAAGCTCGTTGAATATCCTTGTCCAGTCACTTGTTGGAAGGGATGAGCCTAGGCGAACACGCCGCGGCTAACGGGAATAAACGCACGGAAATTTCATGCGTCGAGCAACGTGCATTAATTATACAATGGCCGATGGACGTAGCGAGTATGGATTATTACGAGAAGGATCCCGATACGAGCGAAGAGAGACGCCGGCCTCCTGTTTTATTCTTGGAAATGAGTAAGCGTAGAATGAAAGCCACCAACCGATATCATTTCGTCTCGTAACGATCGATCTTTGATGGATATATAAATAGCGTGAGGAAAAAAAGAAAGAGGAAGATGGTAAAATAAATGGCTGTGTATCGTTACTTCTTCTCGATGAAAGTTTCGTTCCCGTTATATCGTGCGAATATATATATAGCCGAGCCTCGCGTACGCTATTTTCCGTGCAATGAATACTTTTCATACGTTACGTCTTTCCGTGCTCTCGCACCAGAGGCCAATGCACTTCCATCTACCGTCGTCGTTTCGAGCTTGTCTTTCTTTCTTTCTTTTTTTTTTTTTTTTTTTTTTTTCTCTCGTGCGATAATTTTTCGCAAAGAGCAGCAGCAACAACGAACAATATAAATAATTTGTTTAACGTATATATAATGGATAGATAACAACAGGAATTTCCTGCCACCTCGATGAACTCTGTAATCGGTGTTCCACGATTATCGGTCAATCGAAGCATATATCTGCACGTAGCACGATATTTTTCAACGCTTAAATACGCATCAGGCTTTTGTCAAACAGAGATAGGCCGCCCTCGATGGAAAATTTACAAATTGTACAATTACACGGGAGGGGCGATTCGAGATCCGGGACTAAAATTTCACGTAGCCCCGTAGATGCGTTCAATGACGGCGGAATGACTTTCTACCGAGTCTCTTTGTCCGCGATCGTCTCGCCACGTGAGTCACGTGCGTGAGAGATTTCTTGCTCCGCGGGGGATCTTACGACGCGTTGTAAACATGAGACACTGGCGGACAATAATAGCTCTCCC